CGAGGGCCGCCGCCGCTGCTGCTGCTGCTCTGGCTGCTGCCGGGTCTCGCGGCGCCCCAGGAGTTGAACCCGCGAGGCCGCAACGTGTGCCGCGCGCCCGGGTAGGAGCTGGGCCTGTCCGAGGCGTGGGGCGCGAAGCGGGCTGGGGGTAGCGGCGCCCCATTGCGGTCCGGGGTATCCAGGACCTCGCTAAACTGGTCGGTCGCTCGAGCCCCCGGGGCCTCCCGCGCGACTTGGGCTCAGTTCCAGGCCGAGTCTGGGCCCCCGGGGTGCATCGGAGGGCCGACTGGACCAGAAATCACCTGAGGGATAACGGAGTGCTGTGGGACCCCAGAAGTGGCACTGTGTGGTGTCCAAAAATGCCAGGAAAGACCAGAAAAGAGCTACTCTCGAAGCCAAGGCAGGGCATTCCGAGGGGAGGAATAGCATGTGCACGGGCTCCCGGAGCCAGAGGCTTGAGCCTAGAGTGGGGCCGAGAAGGGCGAAGGAGCAACCCTCGGGCGAGCTGGGCACTGGGGGAGTCTGGAGACTTGGAAGGACGGATTTGTCTCGGTTATTGGGCGCAGGGTGGGAGGAGGATGGTGGTGGAAGTGAGCACGGGAAAGCCAGCGCTCACGTTGGACCAGAAACCGGAGTGGTGAGGACAATGATGGACGCGTGATGGGAGGACGTGGGAACCCCTGTGGGCTCCTAGGGGCGGACACTGGGTGCCTGGAGGTGGGTGTCTGAGCGGATCTTGCTGGGGAAGCCCGTGTGGGACAGGCCCAGCCAGAAGGCAGAGGAGCCCGGAGCCTGCGCGGAGGGTGAAGAGCGACGCGGAGTAGGCGCAGAAACCGAGACCTGTCGACTGGCCCGATCCACGACGCGCTCCAGTCATCTCTGCACAGAGGCGAGGAACCCGCGGTGGGGCGCCTCTGGGGTGCTGGGGAGACTGCTTTGGCACTCCAGGCTGGGGCCCCCGGGGGTGCGAAACGTCAGCCAGGGTTTCGGAGGGTCCAAGTAGACAAGGGGCTGCTAGCCGACCGCGCGGTTTCCGAAATCGAGTGGAGACGCCGCAGACCACTCCCGGCCGTGAGCCCCGCCTCGGAGGCGGGGGCCCGCCTGGCTAGCCATCTGCTTCGCATCGCCGCCGCCGCCGCCTCGTCCCGGGCCTCCCCGGCCCCAGGAATGCAGCGGCAGAGGCAGGCGGGGCGGTGCCTGGGGAGGGCCGTCAGCCCACACCAGGCCTCCTCCTCCTCCGACGGGCTGGCCGAGGGATAGGGCCAGGGTGGTGGGTCAAGCTGGAGTTGGGGAGTCCTTGGCCTCCAAGAGTCCCGCCGGCCGACCTCGGAGAGGGTGGGCTGTCTCTGTAACCCACAGCCGGGATGCATTTATTTGCCCTCGCACCCTGGCGGCAGACTGCCCCAGCTGTCTGGATCTGAACAAATACTTGGATTTTCTGGGTCTGTTCCCATCTCTGTAAAATAGGGTTAAATGGACCTCAGCTCCTGGTGCTGGAGGTGGGGGTAGGTTGCCGTGACTGTGTGTTGGGGGTGTCTGTGGGAAGAACGGCCTCTGGACTGTGCCCACCCAGGTCTGGGCCATCCTTGTGGTTATAGAGAATGAGGTCCAGGAGGGAGAGGTGCAAGCGAGCTCATCACGCTGTGCACGCACCCACTGCGGCTTGCTGGGCCTGTTAGTACAAGGACTCTGCAGCGGGTACTGAGCTGAGAGTGTCGTTTCCTTTAGCATCATCGGGCAGACCCGCCATGATGAGCACAGGCCTACAGGACAGAAGGAGGGTGTTTGAGGCACAGCTCACCACCCCTCCCCGCTTCTAGAAAGTTCCTTGGAAGCCCTGCAGATGCTGGGGGGTGGGGGCGCATACTGAAGAGATGCCAGGGCCACATGAGGTGTGCCTTGTGCTGAGATTGAGGCTGCTTTTCATGGAGGGGACACCTAGCCAGGTAAGCGTGAGCTGCGAGGCAGGAGGGCAGAAGGTGGGCTGGCTAGGTGAGGGTGGCTCTCTGGAGGCTGGGGGAGAGAAAGCAGGCCTCTTTCTCAGGGGACCCGGTGTGAGCATGGTCTCAGCTTCCCAGCATGGAGGAGACAGAACAGAGGAGATGGGTGTTGGACGCTCCTGAGCTCTCTGGGTTGTGGTGTCATCACCCAGTGGGCAGTTACATTAACCAGTCTAGTGTTGAGGGCCAGGGCACACCGGAGAGGATCCCATGGTATCGCTCCTACCTGGTGGGCCTGGAGGAGCTCCCTGGAGAAGAGCCATGTCTGGGGGCAAGTGGAGAGCCAGGCATGTGGGAACTCAGGGAAGCGGGCAGGCACAGAAGCCTCCCTGGTTGGAACTGGGAGTGACCAGGGACAGACAGATCTAAGGTGGGGGAGAGAGCGGGTCCCACACAGCGGTGGCAGTGGCTCCAGAGCATCAGCCTTGGCGCCACACACTGCCTTGGAGCACTCGCTCAGAGAGCAGGTTCTCGCCTTTGTAAGCTGTTGGATGAGTTCGCCAGGCTGTCGCTGTCTGCAAGGCTTGTTCTTGGTGAAGCCCGACGGGCTTGAGTCTGCGGAGAGTCCCGCTGCACTCAAAGGCTTGCTCTCTTGACTGTAAATTGACCTGTGCAGGCAAGGAACCTAACTTCTCTGAGCTGCAGGTTCTTTAGCTAAAGAGTGGGACCCGAGGCTGCTGAGCTGTGGGTAAAGGGACGTGCCGCCATGATGATCTGAGTTCAGTTGCCGGAACCCTCATGGTGGAAGGAGAAAACTGACTTCCACAAGTTGTCCTCAACCTCCACATGTACACAATGGTTTATGTGCTCCTCTCTCTCTGTCTCTCTCTCTCTCTCTCTCTCTCTCTCTCTCTCTCTCTCTCTCTCTCTCTCTCGCACACGCGCACACACGTGGGGGGTGGTGGGGGGGATAAATGTATGTATGTTTGTTTGTTTGTTTGTTTGTTTGTTTGTTTGTTTTAAAGAACGGGACCCATGCATCTGGCAGGAGGAAAGCTCTAAAATGCACGCAGCTTTGCTAGTTGCTGCAGTCTGCTTTCCAGCTTACGCTGCCCCACCTGTAAACACCACTGAGTGTGGCCCTAAAACCACACTCATAACCACAGAACTGGGTGCTAGGCCGGCCAGGGAGGGCAGGGCTCCCAGCAGGCCACCTAGCGACTGTGAAGGAGCACTGTTTGCAGAGTCTGGTCTAGAACCAGGTGGAAGTAAGAGGACATGGGCTGATGGACTTGGGTCTCTCTGAGAAGGGATCCTTGGCATCCCTGGGGCAAGGTGGATGGGTCAATGGGGGCTGCAAAAACAGGCCTGTCTCGATTTTCTGTGGTTTCCACTTTTACTTGTGAAAAAATATGCAAAGCCTGTTTCCTTAGTTTACGGTTTTATGGGCCCTGTCCCTCAGCTCCCAACTTTGATCTGAGGGAGAACAGAACTCTTTGGCTGGGCAGGGGCCTTTTGAGGCAGCTGGAGCCTGGCTACAGTATGACTATTACTCCAAACTGGTCTGGGGCAGTATGAAGCTTTTCTTTCAACCTGCCCCCAACCCCTGCTCTGTTCTAAGTCCACAAGCCCCAGAGGAAGCACACTCATTTTCTCTAAAATGTAAGTGAATGCTGTATTTCTTTAGGACTGAGGCAAAACTCTGGACCTTAGGAAGCTATGGTTTCAGTGACTGTCCTTCTACCTTAAAGGGCACACACCAAGCTCAATTCCTCAGAACGGGCCTCTCCAGGATGTACTGCCCTGAAATGCTGCAGTCAGAAGTTTGGCTGCTGGGGTGGGGCTCCCGGCTTCATCCTCAGCACAGTCCCCTGAAACCCCGGCACAGCATGCACTCGGCAAGGTCAAATGAACAGGAGGAGAACATTAAACACAAGGCGATACTCCAGCCGCCCTGCGTCTGGAAGGCATTGGGCCTGTTTGCTTTGACTCCCACATGTGGGTCCCCTGGCCTACAGCAGGGTCCCCAGGTGCCTGCCTCCAGGAGACCCCCCTGGAGGACTCCGCAGGGTCTACACTTGACATCATCCCTCCCCTCACCCTGGGTGTTAGACCCACGTGGGCATCCCGGTGCCCTCCGGCCCATCTGGCAGTGGTGTCAGCCCAGTCATGTCACATTTGGGTCCCTAACACCCCTAGCCCTGAGAGTGCTAGACCTTCCAAGGGTCCTGAGAGGCAGGTGGCTCCCTACTCCGTATTCACTGCAGACCCTTCTGGGCCTCACTGTGTCCTGTTTCTTACCCTTGAGATGGAGGAGCCCCTGTAGGTGACAGTTCTTGGGTGTGAACTCCTGGGGGCTTGCTCTTTGCTCCTTTGGTATAGACTTCCCCTTGCCCACCACTGTCTAGCAGGCGTCAGGCTTGGGTGTCCAACCACCTCCCCAATTCCGGACACTGAAGGCTGGGGAAGGAGTGTGGGGGAAGGACGTCAGGCTCAGACGTCCCTCCTCTGCTTGAAGTTCCCAGGTGCTCACCTGCTGCGCTGGCTGGAGGCAGCTGGGGGATGAGTGTGGGATCGGTGAGTGAGTGGGGCTTTCTGGGGTCCTGGGCAGGCGGGTCCAGGGCGGATGTGGAAAGAGCATGCGCTGCAGCTCAGCTCTTCTTGTCTGCAGCGGTGTGTGAAGGCAATTCCACGTGCTCAGAAAACGAGGTGTGTGTGCGGCCAGGCGAGTGCCGCTGCCGACATGGTTACTTCGGTGCCAACTGCGACACTAGTGAGCGCGGGGCGAGGTGGGATTGGATATTGGGCAGCCTGGCTGGAAAACTAGAGAAATTAAGCAGGGAGGCAGATTGGGGGTGGGTTGGCTCTGGGGGCTAGCTATGGCAGAGCTGAGGGTCGGCTGTATGCAGGCTAACAATTCACACACCACCACCCCCTGGTTCTTGCAGAGTGCCCGCGCCAGTTCTGGGGCCCCGACTGCAAGGAGAGGTGCAGTTGCCACCCGCACGGACAGTGCGAGGACGTGACCGGACAGTGTACGTGTCACGCGCGCCGCTGGGGTGCGCGCTGCGAGCATGCGTGCCAGTGCCAGCATGGCACGTGCCACCCGCGGAGCGGCGCGTGCCGCTGCGAGCCGGGCTGGTGGGGTGCGCAATGCGCTAGCGCGTGCTACTGCAGCGCTACATCAAGGTGCGATCCACAGACCGGCGCCTGCCTGTGCCACGCAGGCTGGTGGGGCCGCAGCTGCAACAACCAGTGCGCCTGCAACTCCTCGCCCTGCGAGCAGCAGAGCGGCCGCTGCCAGTGTCGCGAGCACACGTTCGGCGCACGCTGCGATCGCTATTGCCAGTGCCTCCGCGGTCGGTGCCACCCGGTGGACGGCACGTGCGCCTGCGATCCGGGCTACCGGGGCAAGTATTGTCGCGAGCCATGCCCCGCTGGCTTCTATGGCCTGGGCTGTCGCCGTCGGTAAGCTTGGGAGCCGGTAGCGGGAAGGCGGAGGGGTGAAGCGGAGCTCCATCCGGTCCAGCTTCCTGACCCTTCCCTAGGTGTGGCCAGTGCAAGGGCCAGCAGCCATGCACGGTAGCCGATGGCCGTTGTGTGACCTGCGAACCAGGCTGGAACGGAACCAAATGTGACCAACCCTGCGCCACAGGTTTCTATGGCGAGGGTTGTGGCCACCGCTGCCCGCCCTGCCGCGACGGGCATTCCTGCAACCACGTCACCGGCAAGTGTACGCGCTGCAATGCGGGCTGGATCGGCGACCGGTGAGCAGCCCGTGCCTGCTTTGGCCCAGACACACGGCTCCCTAGTCCTGGCTCCCACGCAGGCGCTGCATGGTGGGTTCTGTAGGCCTGCGGCCTTTGATTTACATTTCCGCTCACGACTCTTCTCTTGATACCAAGGTGCGAGACCAAGTGCAGTAACGGCACTTACGGTGAGGACTGTGCCTTCGTGTGCTCTGACTGCGCCAGCGGCCACTGTGACTTCCAGTCCGGGCGCTGCCTTTGCAGCCCTGGTGTTCACGGACCTCAGTGAGTGGGGACCTGGAGAGGGGTAGGGTATATGTACCCCACACTAGGGCCTCCAGTCAGACCTCAGGGACCTGTACTCCAGGGAATGTGTCAGCAAGCACTTTGGGGCGGTATCTGATTTGGTGGCTGCCCTCAGACAGCAGTGGCCAAGTGGCATCCTGATGTGGCACAGATAGGGTGTAGAGCGAGTCAGTGGTCTAGATTGGCATCTCCTTTTTCCTCTCGCACAATAGTCAGTCTCTGGTAACCATCCTCCAGACTCCCTCCTGCAGATAGCACGCACATACATTTCCAGACTGTGCTTATCAAGTGAGTGCCCGCCCTCAGGTGGGCGTGGGTTTCAGTCTCTAGAGAACGGAGCAGGGGCTTGACTAGGGCACCCGGGGCCAGCCCATGGCGGCCGGTGCTGGGGGAGGAGTATCCTGGAGAGCCACAGCAGCCCTCCTTGACCCCAAAACTTTGCAGCTGTAATGTAACGTGCCCGGCCGGGCTCCATGGCGTGGACTGCGCCCAGGCCTGCAGCTGTCACGAGGAATCATGCGACCCGGTCACCGGTGCCTGCCACCTGGGTGAGTGGGTGAAGAACGTCGGGCCAGGGAATGAAGTGGGGTGCGTGATCCTGCGCTGAGCCGCTGCTCCCCACAGAGACCAATCAGCGCAAAGGTGTGATGGGCGCGGGCGCGCTGCTCACTCTGCTCCTCGGCCTGCTGCTCTCGCTGCTCGGCTGCTGCTGCGCCTGCCGGGGCAAGGACCCGGCGCGCCGGTGAGGCCCCAAGCCAGCCCCCACCGCCGCGGGGTTCAGATCTCACGCTCTCGGTGACTGGGAGTGCCTCTTGAATCCAGACCCACCCCGGCCCAGCCCTCCCCTTCTTCCGGCCCTCCCCTTTCTGTCCCCGCCCAGAGCGGACCGCCCCTCCCAGGCCCGCCCTGCCCCCTCGCTCAGGCCCCGCCCCCGCAGGGAACTCTCGCTGGGAAGGAAGAAGGCACCCCAACGCCTTTGCGGGAGCTTCAGCCGCATCAGCATGAAGCTGCCCCGAATCCCGCTTCGCAGACAGAAGCTGCCCAAAGTCGTAGGTGAGAATGTAGGCCCTGGGACTCAGGGGCAACCCACTACAGGAGGTTTCTAGAAACTGATGTCAAGGGGTGCAAGACGCAGTGTAGACGTGGGGGCGCCTCGAGTTTTGATGTGTGTGGGAGCGGAAAGGTGCCACCGGGGGAAAGAAGGGGAGGACGCTGCTATGGGCGAGGCTGTAGCGAAGGAAGGAGTGCTAGATGTGCGGGCAGACGTTGGGGAGTATGCGGGAGGCATGGGAATCCATAAATGATTGCGTGGCAGGCCGCCTGACCCGCAGGTCTCGACCCTAGTTGAGACTCAGAGCCGCAGGGGAGCTAGTGGCAGAGTCTCTAGATGTTCAGTGTGAGGACAGACAAGTAGGTGGCCCCTTCCTCTAGGCAACTTCCTTCTGAAGACTGGTGGCGATAATTCAGTCCCTCGGGAGGTAAAGGGGACAGCTGGGAAGTGCTTTGGTTCATGTTAGCAGCAGAATCCTAGGAGCAGAGGTGTCAGGGCTGAGCCTTGATAAACGGAGGCTGCTGGGGGAGAGCCTGAGCCCAGCAGTTGTCTTGGCCCCCGCACATTTGGACTCTGAAGTGCTCCAGGGGTCCCCAAGTCCCACCAGGCAGAGTCCAGACTTGGAGAACGTGGTGGCCTTTCCCGGCCACATGTGCCTGAGTCTCTGGTTTTCCGTACACTTAGCCTACTCGTTCAGCCCCCTGCCTGACTGCATCTGGCTTGCATCCTTTTCAGCTTCTGTTTTTTAAGCCATCTTTTAAAATTCTTTTACTCATTTTATGTGTAAGGTGTTTTGTCTTCGTGTGTGTGTGTGTGTGTGTGTGTGTGTGTGTGTGTATGTGTACACCACTTGTGTTCCTGGTGCCTGTGGAAGCCAGAAGAGGGCACCAGACCCTCTGGAACTACCATGAGGGTCCTGGGAATGGAATCCAGGTCCTCTGGAAGAGCAGCCAGTGCTCTTAGCCATTTCTCCAGCCCGGGGGTTTTTTGGTTTGTTTGACTGTTTGTTTGTTTTTGGGGTTTTTTTTTGGGGGGGGTTGAGACAGGGCAGGTTGTCCTGGAACTCAGCTGTGCAGCCCAGGCTAGCCTCAAGCTCACAGTGACCCCCCTTCCTCAGACTTTGGAGTGCTGGGGTTACAGTCATGTACCAGCATACCCAGGTCCTTTCATGTTTCCCTTTACCTTCTGGGTTTCTGGATCCCCATTCTTCAGCCTGGATCTATGTGACTCACTTAATGTCATGTTCCTCCTGCAGCTTTCTGGGGGGGCTGATCATGACCACTGCACTCACATTTAGCTAAAGGCACAGACTGGGGAAAGGCAGGATCCCCCGAACTCTGCCTCACTGGTTTTTTCAGTGGCCCATCATGACCTAGACAACACGCTCAACTGCAGCTTCCTGGAGCCGCCCTCGGGGCTGGAGCAGCCCTCTCCATCGTGGTCCTCCAGGGCTTCCTTCTCCTCCTTCGACACTACCGACGAAGGCCCTGTGTACTGCGTGCCCCACGAGGGTGAGTGTGGCCCTGCGTGGGCATCCCTCTGCCGCAGTGAAAGGCCTTGCTGGAGGTGGAGGCATGGGGATCAGGGCACCAAGAGACCAAGAACTAGGAGCTGTCGGCCACAGGCCTGCAGCTACAAAGCTGAACACCTCTGCCCTGCTGGGGTGAGTCACGGAGGGGTAGGTGGGACCTCTTGTTCCTAGTCAGTCATTCTGGGACTGGACCCGGATAGGGAATGGCAGACAGAAACAACGAACCAAGTGGGAAGGAACTGGCCTGTCCTTTGGTGCCACTGGGTGACCTTCGGCAAGTGACTATCCCCTCATGAATCCTCTTAAAGTTGATGACTGTGGCCCGAGACCGGGATGCGGTGGGGGAGGGGCACAGGGTCTGGAGCCTGAGCCCTGGAAAAAGTGTCCCTGGTCCCCAGCAGTCAGCCCACACCCTGGGGATTCCCACAAAGCGTGTGGTAGTGCAATCGAAGCACCAGGCATGCCTGAATGTCGGGGCCACACAGGGACAGCTGGGCCTCGGCAGAGGAGGGAGGGCCACGCGTGGAGGTTGGATCCGCGCGCTATTCTTGGATGTTGTGACTCGCTTGTCCTTCCTTTGTTAGAGGCGACTACCGAGAGCCGAGACCCAGAAGCTGCTGCTCCGGCGGAGGTGCCCGCTCCATCCCTAGCGCCCACGAGCACCCCGGCGCCCGCGGAGGAGGCAGCGGCTCTCCCCGCGTCCTCAGACAGCGAGCGCTCGGCGTCCAGCGTGGAGGGGCCCGGGGGCGCGCTGTACGCGCGTGTGGCCCG